ATTTCTTGGCATCTTCATTTGGACCATCATAAACTCCTTCAGCCTGTGCAACATCTCTAAATTGATCATTTAACAACCCATCAATATCATCACGCGAGTAATCCATATCATCGTCAACATTCAACTTGATATCCCATTCCCCGTGATTGAGCCATCTAGTATAACCTTTAACAAATCCATAGCATATTAGATGATCATACACTACATTCCTTCGAGTCCAACGAATATTACAACATTTTGCACATGGACACTGAATTTCTTGTCCTTGAGGATCTCCATAAGAGTAAGCAAAATCTAGGAATGATTCAACACCATAAATATACGGTTTCCTATACCTTGCTAAATCCATTCAATCCTTGGATGGGATATTTGAATTCCTAGAAAAATATATCAATATTTAATCTTCCACTAACAATCATTAAATCATCAATTACTTCACAAATAAGTTTTAAAAGTCATGAGTAAGTTACCAGAATCAGGTGTTATGAGATGATATTAGTTTCTTACCTAGTCATGGCGCTTGTGCTATGCCAAATCAAACCTTGAATCCTCCACAAATGTTTTTGAATGTTGATTATACGTCTAAGGAAAAATAAGTAAAATTAATAGGATAGATACAATTAAGAAAGAAAGTAAATTAATAGGACAGACACAATTTAATGAAATAATCAAGAATAAGCAAAGATCTACTACCATGTTGAAACATTCAAGCAAACATTACAATGATCCTATAATAGATAGTCGATCACACCAAAAAAACTTAAAGTTTCGTAAAGTTTATTCATTCTAAGTTATCCCTGACCTAAAGCAAGATTAGCTATAATATTGGATCCTAAAGGGTGAAATATTACTTATAGAAGGACTTTGAATAAGAAGAGTTGTGAAATTTTTCAAGATTCTAGAAGTGTTCAAGGCTTAACAGAATCCTGTGATAAGGTTTACTGGAAACCTGATTTTAAAAAGAGTTCAATAATTTTACTTCAAGTGTTATGTAGCCTTCCAAGTTCTAAAAATAGGAAGAAAACAATTAACACAATCTAAATTAGGCAAGTTAAACCAGATTTTAAGGCTAAAGTTGACTGCATTTTCGAGAAGGAAAAGCATGCCCTAATGAATGTTATATGTTCCATTAGACAATATTGGAGAGTGCTAGGCATCTATTTTTGCACTGTAAAGTAGCAGCTGGCATATGGAGTGTGTTCTTATCAGTTTTCTTATCTACTGCAGTTAACTGCCATGACTCACCCTACAATCTGAACCTGCCAGGACTACCAGATCACTCAGCTTCCTTCATCAAAAATTCTATAATCTGAACCTATGCACCTCCCTTATTCAGAAACATACCAGTCATATTCAACCATTCTGCATCAGAGTTCTGCCTCCTGAACCTTGTGTTCCCAAGCAGTCAGACTATGTCCAATAGCAGAACATAGTTCTGCCTCCTGAACCTTTTCTTATTCAATTCTTTTGTGTTCTGTTTTGTATAGAAGTTTGTTGCTTTGGTATATTGAGTTACAAGAACAGAGTTCTGCCTCCTGAACCTTTCCTTATTCAATTCTTTTGTGTTTTGTTTTGTATAGAAGTTTGTTTCTTTGGTATATTGAGTTACAATATTTGTTTGGATTTTTTTTAGTCTTGTTAGAAATTTACAAGAAAATAGAACCAGCACTTTGTCATACACAACTTTATATCTATTCTCCAACCCAAATTTCCTGAGTAGACTCTTCTAGAGTTGAAAAGCTTAAAAACTGGTAAAGGTATTAATCAAGAATATGTCCATCTGGTGAAATAAACATGTTCCCTATGCAAATGAGCAAACAATATCATTCAGAAAAACAAGAGGAGCTTCTAGTCACAAAATAGGGAAACTAACAGTGGAACTCCTACTCCTCCAAACATCCAATAAAGAGTATGGCTACATATCAAAAGAGAAGACTCTGTATTTTTGTACAAAGCACAGGAATAAGAAAGTAATATTCCAAACATCAGCCAACCTCCAATGCAAGTAAATTAAACTACCCAAGATTGATGGGCAACTAAAACTGACAAAAAAGATAAAACTGTCTGGACTGCATATCGAAAAAATCCTCTTGGGAAGCAATATCCAACAACTTAATAAACTGCATACACAAAGCATCTCTATAGGCATACATTTGCAAGAATTAAGATTTTAGAGACTATAAGCTTACAGAGTTATAGGATTATTTGGCTATACTTGTGAGTATGTTAGACTTGAACACTACGGAGACAGAGTTATAGGATTACAGGATTTTATTTGGCTATACTTTTGTGTAGCTGAGCTTACAGAGTTATAGGATTTTAGAGACGTAATGTTTTGTCTAGTTGAGCTTACTAAGTTATACCTGTGGCTACTTTGAATTACTATAGTCTTGAACACTACGGAGCTGAATAGTTTAATTCAAAATTTATAATATTAAGGAAAACAAAGATAGATACTTACTGACTCAAATGCTTTCGAGTAGTAATTCCCTCTTTCTCGTCTACTCAATATGCCTAGGGCTAACTTTGACGTTCAGATTTTTCACAATTTCTTCCCCTACTTTGAAATTTCAGTTGTAAGAACCCCCAAAGTAATCAATTCCTTCTAAACACAAAACAAAAATTCAATGAATTGACTGTTTTTAGTACTAGATGATTAGTAGAGAATAAAAGGAATCTCAGCTGTACGAAATCGGTACTTACGCTTCACGAAATCGGTATAGGAGAAATCTTTAGCTCAGCTCTCCAGCTTCCTCTCTTCAGTTCTTCGATCCTCAGTTCTTTGGCTTCAACTCTTCATCTCTTCGAGAAAATCGGGTTCTGGAGAAGAGAATCTTCAGCTCAGCTCTTCAGCTCTTCAGTTCTTCAGCTTCCTCTCTTCGATCATCACTTCTGGAGAAAAGCTTGTTCTACAGACAAAGAGTTATGTTCAAGGAAAGAAGAGTAAAGCGTATGTTCTAGGAAAGAAGAGAAAGAAAAGTTTTTATTAATGTTTTATCAATTAATATTTTTGGCCAATAAAAATGGAAGGGAGAGTTAAAAATGTTGGAGGGAATATAATATTTTGGTGAAAACTTTTAGGCCACACTTTTAATGTGTTGTGTTGAAGGGAATATAATATTTTGGTGAAAACTTTTAGGCCACACTTTTAATGTGTTGTTTTTCTAATTATAAAAATAGGACACTTTAAAAGTGTGGCCATATATGTAAATAGTTGTTGCCATTTATTTCATTTTATGACAACGCTTATAAAGTGTAGCCTATACCATTAAAGAGTACGCTTTACAAATGTTGCCAATATTATCGATGCCAAAAGTTAAAAATTTAGGCTACATTTTAAAAGCGTTCCCAAAAATATTTTAGGCAACACTTTACAAGCGTTATCCAGATTTAGTGAGGCCGTAGGCCTAAAATGGTGTAGTGATTGCTTGATTTGTGCCATAAACTGATGAAATATCCTTAATTTTCAGGTACATGGATTGAGGAATAAAGCAAGGACACTAACATGCAAAAAGGAACAAAACAAACTCAAGTATTGAAGAAAGGCGAGCCTGGTGATCGCTAAGAGCGTTTGGTGAATCGCCGAATGGCCAGTTCCACCACCTAAAGTTCCAGTGTGTTCGCCTTGAGGGAAGAAACCAAATCTGCAATTGGAAGGAGCCGTCGGCGCATCGTCGAGGAATTGCTCAAAGCAGTGCTAGATTACCCAAAGTTACAGAACCTAAGGATGATGAATGACAAGAAGAAAAGGGCGGTGGAAAAGATCTAAGGGCGGCTCGCCGAGTGGTTTGGCGAGCCAGACTTACTTCACTGAATGCCTATTCATAGCACATTTTTGGCGATTATAAATACGTTTTTGAACATTTAGTTTAGTATCAATTAGTATTTTTTTAAAATCCATTTTAAGTATCTTGAGACAGTTTTTCTCTAGAATATTCCTTAGCTTTAAAAGATTGAAGAAATTCACTTTTGAAAATTTAGAAGTGGGTCTTTGAGATTCATCAAATTGGAGCATTGTAGAGACGAAATCACTCTTACCTAGTTGATGGATAATCAATTTGGTAACTGTTTTTACCTTTTTATAATGTCTAGCTAAAACCCCAATTCTTTGGGTGTGATCATGTTATTATGGGCTGATTTAGCTTACGGGTATTGCTAATTGTTAGTTTAAATTCTATTTAAAAGTCAGTTTAATTATTAATTGTGGTTTAATTTCAGAATTGTAGTTGCAAATGCAGTTCTATATTTGTGTTCTTGGCTTGCTTGAGTAGAGAGGTTTTAGAACTAAGGTTTTTGATTAATGGTTTGTGGGTATTGGGTTGATTTGGGTTAAGCTCGAGAGAGTAAATCCTAAACTCAATACCACACATTTACCTTGAGAGAGTGAATGGATTACGATGTGGGCTGCTCTTAATTTGCATGCTTGTTGATGTTCTAAAGAAATCACCTGATTCGGGGTAGTTGTTCGAGAGAATACTACCTCCCTCATAGCCCAACATACTCAATAATATCTAGCTATTTACTACTAGTTGCAATATCCATATGCCTAAATTGCCTATAATCGATCACATCGCAACAATCCGTCTCATTATTGTTAATTCGAAGTGTTTCTGATTGCTTTTAGTTGATAATGTAAACCAAAACCCCTATTTGACATTTGTGTCACCCTTTTTACTTTATTTTGTCTTTAATCGATAATTTATATTCCCATGGCTGATTTGACCACATTTATACTTCATAATTGAATTTAAGACAGGCACCTCTCCCTGTGGGATTCGACCCCAACTCATTTAGTTTGGTTTTATACTGAATTACGATTATTTACACCTAGAATTGGATGAGGTGTTCTTGATATGTTAAACCAAAACTCTAAATTCTAAGTAACTTAAAACCCTAACCCAAAACCCTAAGAAACCTTGTACCCTAAAAAACCATTAAATATCCTATAGCTAAAAGGCCTTAAACACCCCTATAAAAACCCTAATAACCTTTAAAAATTCTGCACCGAAAAAAACCCCAACTCCAAATTCTAAAAAACCGTGAAAAAACTTAACCCTAAAAGCCTAAACCCTACGAGACCCTAAACAAAAAATTCTAAATAGTAAGAAACCCTAAACCCTAAACCTTAAGAAATCCTAAGAAATACCTAAACCTTAAACCTTATACCCTAAATCCTAAATCCTATCGCATCTTCATTTTATGAATTTTCTCTCTCTCTAATTTCTCTATCTAAAAAGAGCGCTCCAAAATTCTGCCCATAACAGCTATATTCCCACCTGATACACGCACTGCCGGAATGGCGCGTGAGCCGCCGATGGAGCTCCCCCGCCCACCGGACATAGACCAACC